AGTTAACTGGGGCATTTTAGAAAATAAATACTGCCTCCGTATCTCGTCCTTCACTCGCCAACTTTTTGTGAATACTCTTCAAGAAATCTAATAACAATATGAACGTTCACCTGAGCTTGATGGGCGCAATTTCACTTGCAATGAACGTAGGATAAGCCGCTCATGTCAGTGAACCTATACTTTTGAACATGGTTGATGACCATGGGAATCATCAACAGCACCTGGTGCTTGTAAAAAACCGAATGGGCTAATCCAAACATTCAACGTCTAAGTGGATATTTCTTCTTTAAAATTTGAAAGTTTCATGTAGTGTTTCCTCCTATTCAATAAGTATATCTATATATTATGAAGTTTGTTTAGCAGATTAAAACAAACACAGGGTAACAACTGGGAGGTGTGTGTACCCTTAGAGCCGAATCAAGACAGTCATTACAGGAAGGTAGTCAAGAAAATCTTCGATCCTACGAACGGTAATGCGTACACATGAAAAGTTGGCTTCAAATAAATATACGCCCTTCCGTGAGTTTCACTCTTCGTAGTGATCATGCTGCGTTGCGCGTAGTCTTAGGTAACCGTTAGTTGACTGCTTTTCCAGTTTATACATTTCTCTGCTTTCATGGAAGCTGATGTTTCTCCATCTAGTTTATCAAATAGTTATGTGTGACATATACTTTTTCTGCTCTTTTTCAGTCGGGGAAGTCGCGAGGCGCACAGCGGACTCAACCGTTTGTTCAATCCCATCAATTTGCCGCCATGCAACGTTCCGGAATGGCGCAGGCAAACTGGGATTTTGTTGACGCATTGTTAGATGAATGCAAGCACCGGGTATGTTTATTTTCAGTTCTATCCTTTGTCAGATCGTTTCGTTTATTTCTGCCTGTCAGGCTTGTAAATAGTCTGCCGCGGTGTATGTCTCTTTACTGAATTTGCTCTCAGTTGGTTTCATATGTTCCTGGACTCTGTATGTTCCCCGTAGGTTCGCTAGGGACATATTTAACTTTCACATTTATGATGAACTTGGAGTCAGAGTTTTGCTTTCTGTTTCCTTTTCCTGCCCTTACACGTACTAGACCAAACGAATGGTTTTGAAAAAAATGGGCCGTGAGGCGGTCGAACTGGGTCACGGAGATCCAACCGTGTCGGTGGTAGAGGAGAATACATTAGTTGCCGGGCTGTGCGATTTGTTGGAGCGAATTTGGTCTCATGGTCTGACGACTAAGATGGTAAGTGTAGTTCCGGAACTATCCTCTTTACACCTTGTTGGTTTTGCGACCGCTCTGTGTGTTTACAACAACCTTGTTCTCGTAGCTTGATCAGTCACTTTCAGTTACACGCATAATTATTTACAAAATACGTTTGAATGTCGGTTGAGCTTGGATTAATTTGGTTTCAGCAATTCGAAAGGCTGTAATGTGCAGTGTGGGTAAGAGGAGTGGGCATCATGTTTCATGGTTGTGCTTTTCTGTTGGTCCTAGATTGCTGCTGCTATTTCTAACATCACCTTCGCGTGATAGAGGTTACGACCCGATTTACTTTCCAGGTCAACTAGAGGTCAAGTCAGCTAGAGTGCGTTGACCAATTTTTTCTGTAGAAAGCGATGGGTTCAGTAGTTCAGTAACCATCGCTTCCGCTGTCGTTACTTGGCGCATTCGCACGAGCTTCGATCGATCTGGAGATACTCAGTATGTGACTCTGAAATTGATGTTATCAACTGTTCTGTGAAGCGGGTTACGACTGCGCTTCTTACTGTTTTCATGTTTCCAGCATTCAGCATCCGCTAATACCGCCTCGTCGTACGACCTATGTAGCTCATCGCACAGGTACGAGTGAATGAATAGGTAACCACTACTGAGGTAGGGACGGACAGTTTCTATCTCAGATTCGTGCCTAATATTGGTCCCATCATAAACGTTGCCTTTAAACCAATGATTAGATAGGTGCTGTACGACCACCTTTTCTAACCGTCGTCTGAGTATTTTGCTGCTCGCATCGCCTTTGAAAGCAATAGTGAGAACAACTTTTTTATTTCTACCATCATTTTTATGGCATTGGCGGTCTCCCCAATGAACGGTTCAGGGCGTCCGTTGTTCTAAACGATTCCCTGATATTCCGAAGTGCATCATCTTTTGTTTCTTTACAGCAAACTCTGGGGTCTCTGAATAATTTAGACATCGTACGAGATTCATCCTGTACATAATATGGAAAAAGCTGAGGATATTTTTGTTGTTGATCTTTTTAAGTTAGTTCATGGTAGATAGAGCGATTTTTTGCCTCTGCTTGTTTATCCAGCTCTTTATATAGAGCTGGATGATGAGATTCGTTCATTTCCTCTATTCCAAATGTAAAATTAATGGCATCATTAGCGTGGTTAAAAGATTCCTATATTACGTGGGATAAAACATTTTTGTTGAGAGGAAGGAAAGGAAGTGTCAATAAACTAGCTGCCCTGTAGCAGATGTCTAGGGTTGCGGCTGTTCACGCTTCCCTTGCACCTCGGAAAATGCTCCTATAGGACCAAGCGTCTCAAATAGCCTCTGCTGAGGAAGCCCTACTTACCACCTTCTCGTGGTGGAGGTGTTCTCGAACCAAACTGAGAAGACGAAAGCCGACATCTGGGGCTATAACAGGGTACTTTGACCACCGGAGGTTCATCTAAAGGATTTGGCCAAAAATTGATCATAAACCAACCATGAGGAGGCGTACGAACCACACGCGCACACCTTTTCGGCTGTGGCAGTGGTCACCGGTTCGATTAGGCCTTGAGGTGTATTGGGTACCTTGGACGTTTAACCCCATCCGAAGGGCGAATGATCCGATGAACTGGACACCGGTTGCCAATGGATTGCGGTTTTCACACACTGCTCCGCTGCCTTGCGGGTCAGGCTTTGGCTAGCCAAAGGCTCCGGTTATGGATTCCTCAAGAAAATTGGTCTGGATACTCTGGCAGTATCAAGCCCACGTGCAAACGCTGTAGACAGCTTTGCTTTCGTCCGGTATAATACCACGCCTAACCTATCGGGGCCTTTTGTGGTTCGCCACTCCAAGTCCCGGGGCTTAGGTTAGCGCTTTGCATCAATGAACAGCAGATTCTCGTGACTATGGGGCTTTTCCCGTCTACTACTCATCATACGAAAGTGTGTAATAAAAAACAGACTATCTGGCTTACAATCACTGATGAAAGAACGATCACGAAAATGCTGATCTATTGTTGCGAATTAGATCTTTCGTTCTGCGTAATCTTACTTACCCCTTTATGTTACTGTTCTCCCAATAAATAGCTCTCCTCGTCCTGGCACTGGGCTTAGGGATTCATGACACATGCACTTAGTACGTTAGTCTTAACTACCGTGTGTCGATCAAATATTGATTCTCTCTCTTCGAATTGATCGTCTCGACAACCTCGCACGTCGCAACTTCTCCAGACAATCCCATGTGAAAGTGCTGTTCGGATTCGTTTACACTTGTCCGAGGTACCCATTGATAAATATCAGGTGTATGCTGCAAAAGAAAGGTCGCCTGCATCGTCCGTTTTGAGAGAGTCCTAAGAACGCCACCCCAAATATCTGCCGTCCATTGCTTCTGCTGAGGTTAGGCGTAGAGTTTTTGGTAGATACGGTCGCCCACTGGAGCAAACGGTCAACCTCAATAGTTTACGTTGGTTGGGGCATGTGTTACGCATGTCACCAAATAGGTTGCCGAGGCAGGTAGTGGATGGAAGAACGTCAAGGGTGGTCAACCTAAAACCTGGAATGAGAGTATGAAAACCCTAACTAAGAGCCTGGGTCACATAAGTCCCGTTAGGCTCCCGGGATAGGGACCTGGGGATGGCCGTAATCGGTGGTTAGAGACACTAAGTGATATGCTTCTGTGTCGTACACAATGGCGTACGTGCATCTTCTCAATTTCTTGCACACTGAAATTCTTCATTTTCTATTCTACTCTATTTTCAACTTACCTGTCTTTCTCCCACTTCTCATTCAAGTGCGCAGCCAAAACCATGCATGGTTATTGGTTGTGCGAACTGAAAACTGAACTGAACCGATACTATATAAAACGATGTGAAGTTTCGAAATCACTGCAGAATTTGAAAAAAATACAATAGATTAGTCATACGTGAACCGTAACCGTAACAATATAGTTTGCAAGAAAATCCAACGAAAGATATAAATAAATAGGATAAATTAAAACACGTGTTAAGTTTTTTACAAACATAGATGGATAGGTGTGAACATATGACCTCGGCTAAGATGTTTTCAGAAACGTAAGAATGGCGTTCATATGTGCGGGTGGAAATCAGTTGCAACACAAGGATCAACGCCGGTGGACTGAAGTGTTATCCCCGCTCCAGTGCACAACCAAGAAAATTATACAGAAATATTCATTTTTACAAACGACGCTGTTTGTGAACCTATAAACAATCTAGCATCCAACAGATCAGAAAATTGATGCGATCCTTTGGTCGAAAAAAAATTGTTCTCGCCAAACATGATCTTAAAACTAAGTTCACTACGGCTCGTGCTGTCTGAAACGAGATTATTATACCACAGGAAGTAAAGACAATCAGCTATAGAATATCATTTTTCAATGAATGACCTTTTCTGCTTACCAAACAGGAATATTCCACCTACAATTAGCAGCAGTTCTCTTAGTGTCCTTTCAACATATTGGGCAATTAATTGTGAACGAAGCACGAGTCAAAGGGCAGAAAGGTGTGGCAGAAAAAGGCCACATGTTAACCGAATTGCGAGAAATACAGTCAATTTCCTGCTATGTCGCACCCCCTGAGAAGTCGCATTTTGCAATATCTTCCCACTTTTTCGAAAACCCAAACCAATCGTATGTCTAATAACGTAGTTTCTGACTGCGATTCCGCATCCCCAATATGTCGCAGTTCCTGATATGTACTCACTTGGTCGTAGACCGATGTTCGAGACGACCATTGACCAGCCACCCTGAAATGTCGTACTTAACCAATAGGGTTGCACCTATTGTGACGCTTTCATGGCACTGTTCACTGATTGGATAATCCTAGCGAGGAAGTCACACCGATGCAAGTGATCGGAGAAAGTGTCATTTGACGTCAAAATGTGCAAACGCCTTTTGATTAGAGAGAAGCAGAATGTGTTGGAAATGCTGAAACAGCCAGATGCAACTCAGCGCTTCGTAGTCAAGTCAATTGGGATTTCACGAAAAACTGTCTACAATGTTGTATCCCATCGAATGACTATTGGGGAATTTTTGAACGCTGGTGCATCTGAGGGAAGATGCCACCTGAAAACCAACGAAAGGTTCAAGGCAGTGAATGAGGCAACTTTGGCTTGGTTTACCGCTATGAGGGAAAGGCACGGAGAGTATCGTACGTTAAAAGGCAATCCAGCTAGCACAAAGATTGCATCATAATGACTTCAAGGCTTCCAAAGGTTGGTTTCGCTCTTGGTCAGACAGATATGGTATTCCATCGTACGAAGTAAGAAACAAGCAACTCATGCGCATTACTTTATAGGTCTGTGGGGAAAGTCTAGCGGTACCATGTGATGCAGTGGATGAGTTTCGAGCGGGTTTACCGCAGCTGACACAAGGATATGCTGACTGTGACATTTTCAATGTAGATGAAACAGCTTTGTATTACAGGCAGCTCCCAGAAAGAACATTGAGTCTGGGTCCAAGAAATCCGAAGAAAGAGTCACGTTACTGCTTTGTGGGAGCATGACCGGAGAAAAGTTTTCACCCTTGGTGATCGGAAATTTTCAAACTCCACGATGCCTCCGAGGTGTAGATAGAGAAAGCCTTCCATGCAGTTATAATTCCTCAAAGAACGCATGGATGACTTCTACGTTATTTCACAGTTGGCTATCCAGTGTCAACCGCAAAATGGCTTCTCAAAGACGATCTATTTTACTATTTATGGACAACGCCCCTTGCCATAACCAAACTACAGTATTTTCCAACGTCAAATTGGTACGGCTGCCTCTTAATCGTTCTTCGATGTTGCAACCAATGGATCATGGCGTGTTTTTGTCTTTCAAATGTTCGTTTCGGAAACATTTACTGGAACATGGTTTTGTCTGAGAGGCGCAGAAGTTATTGGATCAATTGAAGCTGTTTACCTTGGCTAATACTCGGAGTTCGGGTCGATTATTGGAGTTTACAACTGATTTAAACAGCGCGTTTGTTGATTTCCAACGGAGAGCCAAGATGATACAAACGACGATTTATGATTTTGCGAAAAATGCATCTTACTAATCTGGGAAATTTTTTTGCTATTCTGTGGGGCACTGAACTGAAATGTGAGGCACNCTCGAATATGGTCATT